CCTATGTTGGCATACTGCAATGTTTTGGAGGAATGCCCTCGTGCAGGGACAATGGTTGTTCACTGGATAAAAAAAGGTACCTTGGCCAAAGATCTAAGGTACTTGTTATGTTAATTGTTTATGGCCATATTGTTCACTCATGCCTCATTGGTTCAACCAATCTGCAGTTCCCTTTTTCTGTAGTGATCGAGAATATGTTATTGCTCGAAGAATATGGGAGGCTGGAAATTCATACTACTGTGTGACAAAGGTACGGGTTAAAACACCATTTACCCGATTTTTGTTTTTGCCTTTGCTCTTGAGTATGTTTCTTTTCATCTCACCATGGCTCCCCTATACTTCTATCTCTATCACACTGTGGAAAGATAGCCTTATTCATCTGAAAATATTTTATTGGGAGGTTCAATTTTTCACTTTGATTCAAGTGGGAGCCAGAAGCGCTTCATGAATTGCTAGAAAATCTCCTATATGATCAATTTCTCATTTCTTGTGGTTACTCATAATATGATATTACTTTAGGCAAAACTCATAAAATAAACGTATATCTGTTATAAGGTTCTTCTGTTAAAAATAGGCACGGTGGATATTTTCTTTAACGTCACCGTTCTACTAACAACTCTATTAACTGACATTTTCTTCTTTCCCAAAAGAGAAAAGAAAGAAAGAAAACAAAAGGACAAAGAAGTGCGCCACATATCTATGTCAAGGAGCCTTCTGTCTTTTCCCATCCCAGCAAACTCGACATCCCCCCCCCCCCAAAAAAAAAGGGCACCTGTCTGGCCCTTCAAGAGTTATTTCTTTCTTCCCATCTGGATTATGCCAATCCCTCACTTTCTGATTTGCAACAAGAACATCCGGGATTTGTTGTGATGTCTTATTGGGGTTCTTACAGTGCAATCTTAACATTGTTGCTCTGATCTATTAAGAGCCTTGAGAGGACCTGAATGTTGAACATCATAACAATGGATGGTAACTGGAATTGAAATCTCCCTAATCGTGACTGTCTGGGATGTGCTTTTTAAGTTCGTGGTCACTCAACTATACAAGGCTGTGTTGAGCATCAAAGTCATGAAGAAGAGCATTGGGATGCCATTTTCTCCCAACAGATAAATTAAAACCCAGAATTGAAATGCAACTCGCACTCTCTTGGTGTTTAGAGTAAAAATATGTGGTGTTGAAATAATGCAGGCTTATATTCCTAGTAAGAAAACTCGATAGCAAACGTATATGTCTTCTCCTTTGATTTTCTGTGCTTTTATATTACTATAAGCCTATTTGGTGCTAACAACAAATCAGAGAGGGGGTCATAAAATACATAAGCGCTAGGTTTTCTTACTGTTTCAGCTTCATTGCTGTAGGGGGTGCCTTATCCAAGTTTACCCAAGCGAGACAAGCCCAGACGAGTAGATCTTTACTTTTCCAGTTGGGTCATCAAACCTGGTAGGAATCGTTGACAATTTTTCTTTACTGTTATTTGCTTTTTGATGGTAACTTGTCAGTTAATGGTATTTCATCTTCTTAACATGCAAAAATCCTGTTGCAGTGGAATCTCGCAAAGGAGATGGACAGATGTCTGCCTGCGAGGTTACCCTTTTACATTATGAAGACATGGGGATTCCCAAAGACGTCGCGAAGCTGGGCGTCCGCCATGGGATGTGGGGGGCTGTTAAAAAACTTCACTCTGGAATGAGAGCGTATCAGAATGCTAGGAAAACGGAGGCATCCTTGTCAAGATGCGCACTGAATGCAAGAATCTCAACCAGGATCTCTATAGAAAATATGGAGTCGTCTGAGCCTTCTTTAGCGCAGGAAGAGAGAGATCAAGCCCTTAGAAATTGTAGGAGACAAGATGGTCCTGGCTTGGACTGGAAGTGGTTGGCTATTGGTGGGACTGTTGCTCTGGTTTTGGGTATTCACGGTGGTGCAGTAGGGAAAGCATTGTTAGTGGGTGCAGGGCGCAGAATTGCACGGGGCTGAGTGGTCTAGAATCTAGTAAACAAGAGTTTCTATTTGTTGTCATTTTGTAGATTCATTATAGTTGTAATCTATAACAGTATATTCTTTTATATTCGATGATGTACTTGTGCGATTGGTTTTTTCATACTACATGAGTCTCGTAGATTGATCAGACCCACGTATTTTACAGTAGACGGCGCTTTGATTCCATGCATCTCGACAAGAACTCCTATGCATGGAAGATGGCTATGAAAATTTTATTGAACAAATGTACTAGTGATACCATTCTAAATGTAAGATTTAGTGAGTAATATAATACTATCCCCGGTTCTAATTATAAGAACCAGTTGACTAATTTGAAGAGATTAAAAAAGTAAGTTGAGTTAGTTATTTGTCCTAAATAGGTGTTGTTTTTCTTAAAATATTCTGCTAATCAAGTATATTGATTAGAACTATCATTATTAGAAATGTTACTTTGGAAAAAAATGTAAAATATGAGAGACAAAATGGATTAGGATCTTATATTTAGGATCAAAATAAAAGTCAAATGGGGTCTTATATTAAGGACCAGAGATAGTACTACTTTCGATTTTAAATATAAGAGCTGGTTGACTAATTTAAATAGATTAAAAAATAAGTTAAGCTAGTTATTTGTAATAAATAGATTTTGTCTTTCTTAAAATATCCTTGCTAATCAAGTTTATTGATTAGGATTGTTATTATTAGAAGGACTATTTTGGAAAAAGAAATGGATTAATATGAGAGACAAAGTGGATTGAGATTTTATATTTATGGCCAAAATAAAAATTAAATAAAGTCTTATATTAAGAACTGGAAGTAGTAATTTACAGTATAAATTAGATCTTATTTTATGAGCAGATATAGTATATTGGAATAGAAAAGAATGTTAGGTATTGGAGGGATGAGAGTAAAAATAAAATAAATAAATAGGGGGATATTAAAGATGAGAATGCTAAAATGGGCTTTACAAGAATAACTAAATTTGTAATAATTGTGTATAAAGAAAAGTTAGTATGGCATTCAACGAGAAGAAGATAATAAAAAAATCAAATGAGGTAGTATATGACAGCAATAAAGGAGAATAATACTCTTCTAATTCTTAATATAAGACCTAATTGTTAAGTTGATCTTGATTATAAATATAAGACCTATTTATCACATTTATCAAGTTTTTCTAAATTATCGCTATTGATACTCCCTCAACCAATCAAATAGGATATGGAAAGATGATTATGGTATTTTAGAAAAAACATATCACATTTTTTATAATTAACTAACTTACTTAACTTCTTTAATCTAATCAAATTAGTTAAATAGATCTTATATTAAGAAGGTAAAGAGTATATGACATTATAATTTTTCAGTTGAGAACTGAAACCTCCCTACTCCCGCAAAGGTCATCAAAGATCAATTAAAAAATGAGTGATCAAAGAATATAAGCTTGAGACTACAATTAGTTGATAACAAATCTATCTCTAGTTCCTCCTCTTTTTTCCTTTTTTTTCTTTTTTTGTTTTTTGGGTATTAACTGAACACTTCGCCCTTCATCGCTTCCATGATTTTTTTCTTTTTTGGGTGTACGTCCGGGGTTTTATCTCTCACGGCCAGTCATTTGAAGACTTTCCCCAAACAATTTTAGACCGTTATTGACGGTTATGAATAATTATCGTGCTGTGTTATTTACTATTCATGCAATCATGCATATTAATTTTTTCACAAACCAGATCGATAAAAATCCATTAATACATGGTTAATATTTAATATCCATACCCATTTCAATGTTAATATAAAAACATAAAGTTTTAAATAAATTAATTATTTACAACTAATAAATAATACAATTTATTTTTCCCACTTCATAGTTCATAACGTGTATGAGAGTTGTTTAAAAATTTATTGATTTGCATTGTACTGGGATCATTTATGATTCACATGGTTTGCTAAAAGTTAATAAATTGAACAAAAAATAATTTGAATGTATTAGAAAAATCTCACAACTAATCCATCCATCATTTAGTTTAGTCTTGCTCATTTGTCCAGCGAATGGATGCTCTAAAACCAAAGGGCAAAAAGAAAATAATGTTGATTGGATAGCACTTTGATGTAATGTTCCCTTTGATAAAATTTAATTTATAAACATGATTAGCATAAATGAAAATTATATAATTCACACGAACTAAAGTGAATTCTAAGTTCTTTTTTTAAAAATATTTTTATTGCATATTACTGGTGATGAAATAGATCTTCTCCTACTTCCAATTAATCACATGTCACTCGTACATTTTTTCCCCACTCATTCTTCCCCTCATCCTCTCTATAAATAATGATATATTTGGGGAAAAAAATACTACTCCTCCGGTCCTAATTATAAGACCCAATTGACTTATTTGAGGAGATTAAGGAAGTAAGTTAAGTTGGTTATTTATAATAAATAAGTGTTGTCATTCCTAAAATATCCTTGCTAATTAAGTATATTGGCTAAAACTATCATTATTAGAAAGATTATTTAATTGATTTTTTAATTTGTGTAACTTGATTATTTATAACTCATAAAAAGTATCGAAAAGTAATATCAAGCTGCTAGGAAAATTAGGAATTGGTCTCCTGTGGATTGTGAAACGTGTTGGGTGAAATAAATAAAGGGACAAAGACCTGCTTCCTTACAGGACATGAAGGGATTTGATAATGATAATGCAAAATGGTCCAAAACATTAGGCAGGAAGGCTTGTGGTTCACATTCAAAATCCTCTCATCCAAATCAAATAATTGCTCCCTATTTAGTGCAACCCTTCCAATTTGCACCCAAATTATGTCGGTATTCTTTTCCATTTTACACCACATTATTAAATTTAATTTAAAGGTAAATTAAACCATCACGTCGGAGACCCTTTTCTCTTTCTGCTATTATTGTTTGGTGTATTTTTATTTTTAAATGTTCATTTAAGAAATTAATGGATATTCTGAGAATCAGATTGCTGCGTCACTTTTATCTTATCCAATGAATACACTCCAAAATCTAATAAATAAATAACTATTTTATTTGAATATAATATCATCATTGTAAAATTTAAAGTACACTGAATAAATGAGCCCACATTTACATGTTGAAGCTTTAGATGTGAATGCCAACAAACAAAAAGAACACTACTGGCTTAAGCAAAAGAGATAGAAATAGGATAAGCTAAACATGAACAAACAAATAGATGACAGGAGGGATGATCTATTATTTTGTCCTTTAAACTAAAAGCCAATGAAGTGGATGCAATTTACAATGGACCTTTACAGCTGATATTCCAAATGATTGAAGTGACTCTAATCACGGCAAGTGGAAAATTTTCATCTCATTGTACTGAAACATCGCTCCAATTTGGGCCTCCTTCGCATGAAATTCGTACACGTGGCATCTGCTTAACCTCACATTCCTCCATAGTTTTAATACCTTCAAGGAACTGGGGCAGTACATAGCAGAATCTGCAAGGTACATATTGCAAAATCTCTCTCTTTCTTCCTTTCGCTAACTGAGAAATTCCACTGACTGAAGCATATCCCCTTTTGCATACCTTTTCTGTTGGGCTTCCCTCTGTGTTTAAATATACAAAGGTGTGTTTCTCTCATCCTTCTCATTCTCTTCTCTTCTGCTAGATTTTGATGTCTTTTAAAACCTTGCCTCAGTCTTGAATCAGTCTCACCTGCATTTCCTTGCATATCAGATGGGTGAAATCTTTCAGGATTTTCCCTGATTTCTTATTGAACGTGATTTTGTCTTGCTAAAAGATAATGGTAATTTTTCGCTGCTTATTGCTAATGTGGTGCTGTTTGCGACTTTCTTGGTTTGACTCAGGCAGGAATAACGTAGATGGATTAACCTTTTTGATACCCAATTGGAAAAAAAAAACTTTTAAATGACTGGCTTGATGTATATGATAAGCTGAATTGACCTATTTCATGGACAAATGGGATAATACGGTTCATCTTTTTGGTCTTATTATTTATCACTACTGAAATTGTTTTTTATGATGATCTCTTCCTGAATTGGAGAAGCTTTATAATTGACTTGTGAATCTCCATACTTCATATTCAAGATCAGCCTTTAAGATAAATAAGTAATTCAGTTTACTTTGATCCCTGGTATACTTCTATGTAGCCAAGTATAAGGAAGAGAAAGTACTAAAGATCACTAATCCTCCTAGGACAACTTTGTGAAAATTCATCTCCAGATTGCCATCTCAATTTGTTGTCTACCACACTAGATCTTTGATCTACGTCTGTAACTGTTTTGTCATGTCTATATAAATTTTTAGCAGCATCAACTATGACCTAATTCAAATCTCTGTCTTAAAATCTATGGACCATTGGCAAAACAAGAAGCTTGAATAGTGCGAGTTACGTGAAGACCCATTATCCTTAAGGATCATTCTACCACATCAGATCAATCTTATCGTAGCAATCCCCTAGGATTAAATAGACCCTTCCTGGATTAACAAGGAAGCTGGACAAGAAGCATAAAAATAGAGTAACCCAGAGAGAGTGTGTTTGGTGGTAGTGTCACAAGGAGGGAACAGATGACTATTATATATGTTGTAGCCTTATTGATGATGTTAATCATAGGAGAATGAATAGGAATGTATTGGAGGTTTCTAAAATTAATTCCAATTTAGGCACAATGATTTGTTGGCTACATTAATTAATTTTATTAAAATATAGTCAAACCTATATCATTCATTTTTAAGTATTCATTCATATGTACAAACATCCAACGCCCAGTTGTGTTGTGTCTTTGTCTTGCATCTTGCCAAACTCATATATGTTACTTAGATGGGAAGCGATTTTCTCAGGGAGAGAAACATGATACAATTGTGAAGCTTGGATGATAGAATTAACGCCATGAGGATATCAAGAGAGGAGCCAATTAGATAAATACATAGTGGAAGGAGAAAATTAATGATACTGTTACTAGGACTAACATATCTACATTTAGCATACTTTTACCAGGGGATTAAATTTTCTTAAAGAGTTATGCTCATTTGCAGTATTACGTATTGAGCAATAAGAAGGTTAATTTGAACTGCAATCATATGTCAGGAGCTACTGGAGATTTTATCCTTCTAAAGATGAATGCTGGAAATGAGAAAGCGGGACCAAAGATAGATTTGCAACTTGGTTTGAATTATTCTAACCATTGCATCCTGAAAACTGACCCAGGTGCAGGTGCAAATGCAGTTTCCAAATTAGGCATGAGATTTGTTGCCAACAGCCCCTTATCTGAACTAGTTTGGTCTCCAGACAAAGGTTTGAGTCTTAAATGTGCCGATTCAAGCTTTTCTGATAAGAAGACATCCCTTTTTTGGGATGTTGGACCAAGCAATTTTTTTCTCACTATGCCAGACAGCGTTGTTGGCGTGACATCTGCCACTGATAAACCAATAGATGATGTTTTCGCGAAACCTATAGCTGCTGTGTGCATAAAAAGCGATATTTCTGGTAATGATATTCCTCCTAAGGATTTCACAAGTGATTCAGGTGTCAAGCCTGAGTGTAAAGAATATGAAGAACAAGATACAGGTAAGAGTTTAATCTTCAAATCCCCTGGCTCCATTATGTGTATGAAAGACAGGTTAGTAGTAGATCTTTGGTTCAAACAGACAATACAGATGGAAAAGGAAAAAAGCCGGTTATCCTGATTAGTGAATTAATAAAACAGCTTCTACCAGTCTGTTTACTTTTCTGCTAGTTACTATTTTCTTATTTCCACGAAAATCTGGGCTGGCAGGATGTAAAGGTAATATGGAAGAAATGAGCTCTACAGAAAGGAATTCTTGCGATCAAGTAAATGCTGGAACTACTCAAATAACTGAAGAAAACATTGACCAAGTTTCTACTACATCTGGTAAATGCTGTCCTCATCATTTCTCTAGTTTGAGGACATTTTCTTTATCATGCTAAGAGCATTTTGACTATAGGTACTTGTAACAAATTTATGTATCAATAACAGGAAAAAAATTCCCAATAATTTCTGTAGGTGTTCTCTCTAAGAGCGTAGATTCCTAGTCATTAAATTATTTCATTATGTTTAAAAAGGGATAATAATGAAATTATATCCTTTTGTCCAACGGAAAAAAAAAAATTGAAAGTTCTTCTTTTTGTGCCTTAAATTTTTTTTTTCCCATGTCATGATTTTCTTGCAGGTCATGTTGACCGAATGCAGGTTGATAATTTAATACCACAGGCAGATGAACATGAACCTAGCATTGGGCAAAATCCACTATCGAGAGATCAGACTAGTGGAGGTGGAGATATAGGCGTTAAAAATCAAGCCTTTGAAACAGACGATGCTTCATCCGCCAAGGTTTATCCAATAATTGAATATAAAAGTCTTGGTGCTCCCGGAACTAAATTAACTTCTCCCACCGGAAGTCGTTTCAAAAAACTGGAATCAACTGCTAAGAGTGATTTGCAAGCTTTCAACTGTGAAGCTGTCTGTGGTGCAACAAGCAGAGCTCTGGTTTCAAAATCTAATGAGATTGTAGACAAATCTCAGGATGACAAGAATCTTCCAGTTTTGCATTCACCTATCAATCGAAAACGTCGTCTGTCTTGGAGGAAACACAGGGAGAAGGCATTATCTATTGGGGATATTAACATGAAGTTTTCATCAAAGGAGGAGGAAGAAGGCCATGAGAGTGTTGAAAGCTGTAACAGTAGTGGGCAGTTTTCCACGGGTAAGAGATTGGACTTCCAACAGCAGTTGCTGGTTGAGAGTAAAAGAATCAAAAAGCAAACACAAGAAGTTTCATCCAATTCCCTTGTTAAACAGGATAGCTCCTTCATGAATTGGATATCTAACATGATGAAAGGATTTTCACTATCAATTCAAGAAGCAAGAAACTGCTGGGCTGATGCATCTGCATATCCAGATCACGCTCATCAATGGCCTGATCAGAAACTTATCACATTCAACAGAAATCAAAATCCAGAGCCAAAAAATACGGGCTTTCAATTCATTTTTGAGTCCATGTATTCTCCAAGCTTGAAGCGTTTAGAAGAGGGTTCTAAAAATTTTGATAAAAAAAACAAGGTACATGGAATAGACGCTAGTGCAATAACCTGTCATGCGGAGCGTGATACCCCTTTCAGACAATATTTGAATTTGGATGAAGTTGAAAGATCTAGGCGGAGATATGTAGCTGGCCCATCATCCCATCCTAAGAATGAGCCTGTAAATTTTGCTGACTCTCATGAATGCAGCAAAAACTATTTGATGGATAATAAAGATGGTTCAAACTTAGGCCCTAGTAAGGAGAGAGAAGGAAAAACATCAAGTTCATCCTTAGGCGGACAAAAAAATAATACCGAATACCTTGATTCCTCTGCACCGTCCGGGAGGAAGGAAGTAAACAATAGCTGTTACAGAAGTGATACTCTGGGGACTCAGTGGATAAGTAGATTTTTCCCAAGACCAGTTGCCCCCCTAAAAATCTCTGATCACCTCATACGGAATGGTGGGACTCAGTCAGAATCCAGTGATTGTTCAAGGCTTCCCCATTCCCATAAGCACACTGCTCATCTAAACAAGTGCAAGGTTGAAGAAAATCATAGAGAGCAATCTGCTGATGAGGCTAAAGGATTACATGATCATTCAATCGATAAAGAGGCTTCCAGTGGTACTATGGATGATCAGGTTAATGATAGTTCAATGCATCAATTCAATCCATTGTGGCCTTCCCAAAGATTCAGAAATTCAGAGCCAGAAAGGAGATTGGATGCCATCAAATATATCGTATCATCAAATGGAACAGATAAAGCCAGCAAGGGAAAGATGACTTGTTTGTTTTGTGGAACTAAAGGTCATCAACTTTGTCACTGTTCAGAGATCTCTGAAACTGAACGGCCAGATCTCCTAAAGAAAGTGAATTCACATGTAGGATTGAAGGGACTGCCTTGTTTCTGCATTAAGTGCTTTCGGCCCAATCACTGGGCTATTTCATGTCCCGCCTCCATATCAAAAGGGAAACACAAATTAGGATTTCATGCTTTGGTTAATGACTGTAGCCCCAATAGAATACAGTGTACTGAAGGCAATAGAGAGATACCCAGGTTGCCTACGGATGATGAGGGTGGCCAATTTATATCTGGTTGTCCTAAGAATGATGAAACCGATCCCCCACCAAAGAAAACTCTTAACTTGAAGAGGAAACTAAATGAAGTTATGACCTCTGATAAGATGTGGTCTAATGTATCAATCAAGAAATACTTTGGTTCTATGGGACCTCCATCTTTCTTTGTAGAAAGAAAAATCTCAGATGTACCTGAAAAAATCTTTGCTGCAGTGAAAAAACTTCGTTTATCCCGCACTGATATCCTGAAGTAAGTAATGCATGCCAAGTAGCTTATGAAATTTATATGATGCTATGGTCCTTGTTTATTGCATAAAGGATAAGTAATTTATGACAGTTTTTAAATGTAGATTAAGGAGCCAAATAGTTCAACTTCAGACATTAGAAAACCTGTTTCAGAGGGAAATATGATAGTCTTTGATTGCAGGAACATGAAATATGATAGTCTTATTCTACAGCAGCATGGTTTGGATTGATCTCATCTGATCATCCCTAACACCTTTTTCCTAAGAAACACCATACAATTAGCAATTGGGTGGAGTGCAATTTAGTCTTCGGCCAGAAAATATTAACATGGCATAGTAGAGTTTTAAGATGCCTGTATGATTTTATGCTTGTACTGATGATGCCTCCGGCAATTGACTGAAAGATTATCTATGCTGATATAATTTTCTTTACCAAGAAAACTCACGTTCTTCACTGAGAATTCTTCTCAGACTTGGAATTCTTAATGACAGCAAATATACGATATAATTTGAAGAGGATAACTATGTGTTCTGCTTTCCAAACTATCATTGTAAATTTTTCGAAAAGTTTATATAATCAGAGGACGCGTCATGTTTACATTTCTTAAACTTGTATTTTTTTTCCAACATTCAACCTCAAATATTACTTGACATGATGTCCTTTACTTCCAGATGGGTTAATTCTCATATGTCACTATCACACCTTAATGGCTTTTACTTGCGGTTGCGGCTAGGGAAGTGGGAAGAAGGTCTAGGGGGAACTGGATACTATGTGGCCTCTATAAATGGTACAACTTGATGTGCTTTTTATTATTGGGACATCTTTGGATTAAATTATGGAAACCCTTGAAATGTTTCCTCGGTTTCGTTCCCTTTACTTTATTTGCTTTTGTTGCATTTACAGAGGCACACAAACAGAATTCGCCGCATGATACCAGAATATCTGTCTATGTGAGTGTAGGGGGGATCAACTGTATGGTTGAAAGTCGGTATATTTCAAATCAAGAATTCCTTGAGGTAATTCTCTGTGCCAGTAGTGTTTACTTTTCTTCTAGTTCACCATGTAATAATTTATAGACCTTATAAACTGTGCTGGATGGGATGATTTTACTTCTTATCGATTAGATTGACGCATTTCGCCGAAGGCAAGTCACAATGAAAGACTAAGTAGTTTAGAGGAGGAATAAGCCAAGATAGAGGCCTTTAAGAAGTAGATAATGGTTTTCTAATAATTGATTTGGATGCATACTTAGCCCAGTGATATTTTCTCCCATTGTACAGGAAGAAATCATAGCTTGGTGGAGCACGAGCTCAAAATCTGGGGACGGCATTCCATCTGAAGAAGATATGATAGAAAAGATCAAAAAGAAAAGAATGTTAGGTTTTGGGGCATTTGTTTAAGTTGGGGCCTATAGATATGCAGATTGCAAGTTTTGACCTTTTTTTGGCTAATGTTCTCTTTATACGAAATTGAAAAACGAAAATAGAATTGTTCAGTCACTTTCATGATCGATGTTCCTCTTCCCAGTCGCTTTATGTTTCGACATGTAAATTACGCCATTTGTATGAAGTGGATGAAGTTATGAGGCATGTTCGAGCTCTGCTGTTGAACGATCTCTACAATGTCAGGAATTCATTCAAGTTTTGCTGAAACTCACCTACGGGGAAAGATGGTGACAAATTTGAACCATTTTAGTTTTACAATTAAAAAAGATTAATTTACCTTCAAATATGTGAACGACCGAACACACACAGGAGATTAAATAAATTTACCTTCCAACTTTCAAATGTTTGCAAAGATGTTCAAAAATTAGGAGATAGAATAAATGGCAATGAGGGGGTCCTCCATTATTCTATCTTCTCCTTTTTTTTTCCTCTATTTTTCATTGCCAAATTACAACATATGGGCCCAAAAAGAGGATACTTGGTTAAATCTCAGTCAAAAGGTTGAAATTAAATGACTGTACACATAAAGTCACAAATGTGGAAGTGAAATGACCCTTTCATCAGTTTCATGTCTTTCAATGACTAAGTAGTAGGTGTAATTTACAAAATTTGATGTCAGTGTCAGTTGTGAATTGTGATTCCATTCAGAGTCGCTGCCTTTTGAGAATTTCTCGGTCATGAGAAGGAAGCTTCCATTCATTTTCGTTCTCCGCATCCTCATTTCCCCTTTCTACTTCGGCTCCTCCCATCTTTCCACAGTGAAAATGACTTCATTAGCATTATTTCAATTAAATGAAAACACAGGTAAAACAGTAAAAGTATTCTAAGATTGACGAAAATAATAATAATGGATCAATAAAAGTCACTTGGAATACAATACCAAACACTACTATGATGTCTCAGTATTTACAATTTTTTTATTAAATAATTAACCTATCTGAAATACTACTACAGAAAGTGCAGCAAGTTACTAGTAGCTTATCTCAAACTTCATGAAAATACACGAGGTCCATCCTCATTAAACAAAGATCATATTTTTTTCGTTAAATCGTATATAATAAAATATCATATAAATGAAGAGATGTGTGAGAATGATACTCGTGATATAATATTTATTATGGTATTTGTATATAAATAAAATGATGTTTAAGGTGTATCATATGATTTTAATTTATTTTGTTAATGAATGTCAATATTAATATAAGACAAAAAATTTACAACTAGTCACACTCTTACCAAATCATCAATAATGTGGCTCTTTTTCAATACACAAGAAATAACACACAAAATTTGACCTAGTTAGTAGATGAATGGCATAGAACTTCTTCAATCTTTGACTAAGTTTATTATTAAAAAATATAATTACCAATCAGATAAAATCATAAAAAGTCCAACAAGTAGACTATCATGTAATTATGATAATAAGTTCAGTGAAAAATCAATATAATTCGCTAAGTTAGGACTAAGATTCGTGGCAAACTGAACACCATCACTCAAACAAATCCGCAAACTTTTGAATAGAATTCCACCTGATGAATTATAATCCTGTTTTATATGCAAGAGATGAACAAATTTCATATCCAAGACATTTATTAATTGATTTGTAATGTGTGATGAACCGCAAATTTAGTGTTTTGCAGAGTGATGATTCTAAAAATGTCTAAAAAGGAAAGGCAGGGATGGGGACAGATACCTTATTAGCATGCATCTCTAACAAGGCAAACAATTCCTGATGAGAGAAATTTGAGGTGATGCTTCTGGTATTCATCCCAAGATCCGTCAATAATTGAAGAGTCTCAAGCACTGAATCTATTGGAGACGTGGAATGAGCCAGCCTCAACTCAACTCTGTTGCCTTGTTCACTGTTAAGTTTTTCTTCAAGCTCTGCATTTTGCTTCTTCAATTCATCCCTGCAAGCTTGTAGCTTCTGGATCTCCTTCGCTGCCATTTGAACCACCGAATTAACGTCGTTCTGCCCAGAAAGAAACAGAGAAACAGCTAGCATATCAGAAATTTTTGATCGGTCAGAAAAGGGATTGAGAAGTTTGATTACCTTGGTTCCAAATGGTAATATAGAATGCAAGGCCAAGCAACACTGCCTCTGTCTCTGCCTTCTCATTCTCTCGTTAATCATGTGCCTGAAACCTCGTTCTCTTTCGTACTCTGCCATGTTGCCTCTCTCTGCAGGACAACTGTTCAAGTAATCAATCATCCTCCTTCTCATGTTCATAACATCTGAACTTCCCTGACTATACTCTGTTCTGGGTAGCTCTCTGTATTGAACAAAATCACTTCGATTCCCAGCAGGAGAAGCTCCATGGCCACGATCTTTCGCGTTAATGCCGCGTGAATTTTCTTGCCCCGATTCCGATCCCGTTCCTGGTACGTCATTGTATGGAACAAAAGCAACTTCATTTGAATTCAACACATTCTGAGAACTTTCTTGCCCGAACACAGCTCTGAGACAGTCACTATACTGAAGAAAATCACTCTTATTAGCGGCAGCAGGAGCAGGAGGAGGAGCGGCGGCGGCGGCGGCGGGGGCGGCGGCGGAAAGCTCGTCTTCGACAATAGGGTTCTGGGAACTCGATCCGACATGGAAGCTTTCTTGGCGAGTCTCAGTCTCTGTAAACTGAAGAAAATCATTCTGATTTTGAAAAGATTCATCACAGAAAGTATCGTCCAGAAATTTGTCGGGAAAGAAACCTTCCATATTCTTACTCTGCCCTGTTGCTCTGCACGTGTGCCGGCTTAGAGGAAATTTTCAAATTTTCAGTTGATAATACAGTTGAGAATGTAAGAAGACGAGGATTCTGATTGTTGGGTTTATATAGGAAAGGAAAATGGTGAGCTGCATCACATTAAAAACGTGGTCAACATTTTACGTTTGACCTCGTGGGTCAAAGTTTATTCATAGATACACAAGGAGTTCAAAATAAACTACATCACACGCTTGCCCCCGATTACGAATAGTTTAAATGTACCCTTCTTTAAGAAATTCGTCTATTTTCTATTCTTTATTGCGCCGCCAGAGTAGGTTGCGGGCCATGTTTTGTCATGGTAAAAAATAATTAAATTGCACGTCATTTTTATATAATTTTAATTATGGATAAATAATTTTTGTTGTGGAAAATTTGATGATTAATTCGTTAAATCGTTAAATTTCTGCAAATAATATTTTTTTTGTTGTCAATCTGTTGTGAGATGTTCGAGTTTATAGAGTATGTCCATGCACACCCAGACTTTTAAACATACTTTAATTGGTTTAGTCATTCTAAATGGAGATGATAATAGTCAAGAATCATTTGTAGGTATTTATATTTTTTCTCAATTTTAATTTAATAGTAACTATTTTAGTTTTGTTTTGTTAGTATTATTAGTTTACATGTTCCTTTACAGAAACTAACAGTATTAAGAGAATAAAATTAAGTATTTTAAAAAATATATATACTAAATTAAAAATTGAGAAAAAGTATGGATAAATGTAAAATGATTTTTCCCACAGTCAAATATAATTCATTGATCTTTGATATCAAACAATTGTATTAAAAATAAAACTAATATTAATTTATTCAAGTGATTTGGTGCTTTCGTCTTTTCAATAGAATTTTGAATCTGAGTCTTCCAGAAAAATGTCATTGAAAAACCTTTTGCTGGGACACGTTTCGAAGCGTGCTGGCAAAAAAGAGATATGTTTCAAAGTGGAGGATCAGACTGAGAGTTCTCTCAGAGTTCGTTTGATACGAAGAAAAATGAGAGGAAAGAAGAGAAGAAAAAATTTGGGATAATTAATATATAAGTCCTTATAGTTTTAACTGATTTTTAATCAAGTCCCTATAATTTTTTTTTTTTATCAGGTCCTTATACTTTCATATATTTTAATCAAGTCCTTATAATTCTTTTTCTTTTTATCAGGTCCTTATTGTTTTATTTTGTTTTTAATTAGGTCCTTGTAGCTTTTATTTTTTATTTTACAAATAATAACATTTTAAAAATAATAAATTATTGTAACAATCTTATGTTAATATTATTTTAAAATTTTTAGTTAAACAAATATATTATTTATTTTCAATTCAAATTTTTATAATTATAAAATTCAAATTATAATAATAAATTTTTCTAAAATTAAAATATGATTATAAATAATTTATATTTAAGTATTATTATTATTCTGATTATTTATTAATTACTAAATGATTATATTAATTATTTTTTCCAATTATATAATTATTAATTTAAAAATAAAATTAATTTTAAAGAATAAAGTTAATAAATAATTTTTCAAAAACTACAAAGCACCTAATTAAAAAATAAGAGAAACTATAAGGACCTGATAAAAAGAAAAAAAAATAGAAGGACCTAATTAAAAACACACGAAAGTAAAAGGATCTGATAAAAAGAAAAAATTTTATAAGGACCTAATTAAAAATCAGATGAAACTATAAGGACCTGGAGATTAATTATCCCAAAAAATTTCAATAAAATTGATTTAAAAAAGTAAAAAATAAGTTCAAAATTTTTTAATTAATTTGTATTACTATTTTATATTTTTTTAATTAAAATTTTAAAACCTCACTTCTCTAATTTTTTAAATAAAACTCATTAAAATTTTTTTTCTCGTTTCTCCCGCTATTTTCTCGTACCAAACAATACTTTTGGTTTCAACTTTCGAGCGCCCACCGAAATGGCAAAATGACCCTTCACGAAAGACAAAACAAATGGGTCGTTGCGAGAGCTTTGACGGCTGAACATCTCCAATTGACTGGAATTTTATATTGTCAATTGATGTCAAACGCTACTTTAATTAAAACGGTTTAAACTAATAAATAAAAAGATAATAGTTAAGTTAAATTTCTTATATAAAGCATGTACTGCGTGATTGAAAAACTTTACCACATAAAAATATATAAAAAAACTCGATGTAAATATTGATTTTTTTAAAGTAACAGTCAATGTAGTGTTCTTTTTAAATTAATGTCATCACAATCTTTTGGGACATTCGTTGTACTGTTTTTTGTTTGGATTAATAAAATTTTTAGTGTCTGAAATTTGGGTTTATCTTGATTTTAATATTTAAAATTTAGTTCGTCTTAAAACATTGATCTCTAGAGACGTATAAATATTAAAATATGTTGAAATGTCGTGAATGACGTTAAAGTAATAAAGTGAACTCATTAAATAGCACTTAACTAGATCTCATGTGGATAATAAATAAAAAAAGAATAGATTCTCAAAACCTAACAGTACAGGCCTTTTTATTTCCTCATTATTCTTTTTAGGAGTTGTTCATTATACATTGTGTTTTGAAAATTCACCCCCTTCATATAATTCTTTTCTGCGTTGCATTTTGAGAACATGTTATTTTTTCTCTTGTTCACACAAGATTCAATTAGGTGTTATTTGGTAAATCCACATTATGTTAATGCTGTTTTTAATATTTAAACAGATTTTAATACCATTATGTTTTTAAGAACTAATGTTTTAAGACAGACTAAATTTTAAGAACCAAAATCATAAATTTAAAATTTGAGTAATCAAAATTAAAATAGGTTTAAATTTTATAGACTAAAAATTATGTTAGCCTCTATTTCTTTAAAAGATACATTAAATGCTGACTAAAATTTATCTCAAATTTTAATTCGCTCTCTTAGGTTGAAAAAAAATTAGGGAAAAGTCCCCAGCACCGGTGAAGATCAAACAACGAAACCATTGAGGGATAAGTACTATAGCGTGCTCTTTTTCATTGACTTCCTTAAGTTGACACAGTTGCCTTTTTAGTTATTAATTTGTTATAAATCCTCACTCGTCATTACATCGTCTTTGAGCCCAAATACTTGTGGATTGTGGAAGCTTTAATTTCAGGCGCATCAACTTCAGGTAAAAAAAAAAAAAAATTTCAGGCGCATCAACATGATCTCTGTCAATCCCCCCTCCTCTCACCCTGCGTCTCTTCTTCCTCACAACTCACAAGTCAGAGTCCTTCTGCCCCCAAATTCGAAGCAGTTACCTAAATTTGTGAACATGTTAACCTTGATGATATATTAAAAAATAACTTTCAATTATTTTATAAATCAAAACAAATAGATTTTTTAATCCATTATTTATTCGCTAAGCAACTCTTCTTAATATTAATACTTTTTAAGTTATTTTTAAATGTTAAATCCACTTGTTTTAATATAGTGAAAAAATTGGGTGGGAAAAAAATGAAAAAATTGGAACAATATTTATATCTTTATAAATCCGGGCAATGTTATTAAATATCATCTCTTGTTCTTAGTATAAGAGTTTGTTGACTAATTTAAGTATATTAAAAAATTAATTAAATTTGTTACTTATAAATCTTTTCTAAAATATTCTTGTATTCACCGGTATTAACATGAATTGTTTTAAAAAATAAATAAATATAATCAAAATAAAGGCAATATTTAGGTCCACATTTAAAATCGATCAGTCACATTTTACTACCGGATGAATTAGGTTTCGTCGAATGAGCCGGAGCGACGGTTCTGGGGGGCATCACGTGGACGGGGCGTTGAAGAGAAGAGGGGATTGTTGCCGACGGTGACGGAGGTGAGAGAAAATCGGGGGCGAGGGCCAATATTTGGGCAACAACGACTACGGAGGGGTAGGGCCGAAGTTTTTGCTGTTAAGGTTCGGATTTATTCGCCTAAATCTCTCTGTCCATCCAACCTTTCAATGATGCGATTATAGTTGTTCGCTTTGGCTACTACTTTTGTTTGGAGCAAAGATTTTGGTTTGAATGTACTGATGTCGACTGTGCTAATCTGTTGTGCTTCTTTGCAAATAATATTTCAGCACATGGAAATGTTGAAAGTGTTTCAGTTCTCTTCATCAATGCATGCAAATAAATATCTTCCTCTTCCTGGACCCAGCTCTCCCCACCCCCTGCAGGAAGCATCCCTCCTCCCTTTTAGGGAAGTGTTCTTCCCTAGCTGCTGCACTTTTCTCTCCCTTTGTGCAACCAAACGACCGAGCGGGTGGGAAGGAGCCGTTATCCATTTCCCTGCTAAAATTTCGCCCAACTAAATAGTTCCTTCGTAAAGGGTGGTGTAGTCTAGAAATTTCGGGCATTAGCCGAAATCATTGGAGGGGATTACATTCTCATATCATTCTTGTCGCTTTTTGTGCTGCAAAATCATTGAGCAAACTTTTACAATCAAGTAATTCTAACATTTCACTATAATATGCTTAATTTCAGCTATTGATATTTTATGAGCAATGTATGTATTTGGAAAAGAAAATTATACGAGTTCTAGTTAGAAATGTGTTCATTATTTGCTTTGGTAAAGAAAATTATAGTTATAGAAATAATTTAAAGGTTATACTGAGAGGTGACGACTAGTTATCACCTAATGCAGGGGGAATTCATAAGCCAATTTTACAATTTGAGGTACCACTGGTAATACCATTTGCCGCTGAGGATTGTTGCCTGTATTGGTGTAAGCTTACCTCTATCCACTCTCCCTCCTAAAAATTTTTTCTTTCCTTTGCCTGTCTGCCATCTTTGTCATCCTGCAATGACTTTGTATCAAGTGATGATGTAGGAATTTTTAAATAGCCTCTACGTCTTGTACCCACATCTTTACCATATCAACATTGCTGTTAGCGGCTGTGTTGGTAGGTTAATCTGTTTTTGTTCTTTAAAAACTTAACAGTGTTTATAAAATTAAGTACTGTGAGTACACTGACACTTTCGTTTTGGAGGGAGCCACAACTTTGCTAGCGTGATTAGGAAGTTGCAGAGGAAATAGTGTAACAGGACTCATTATAACTCTGCAACTTCATTCTCTTTAGTTTTTTCCCTTTTTTCCCTATATCTCAGAAATATGTCTAATCTTGAACAAACCTTTTCTATTTTTGTATCACTTCAATGAATTATTACTGTTATTTATGCTTCCTTGATCTGCTAGCCATTTGTTCAATGCTGACTGTTTAGAGATTGAGACTCCAGCTGCTGATGTGTTGAGTGAAGACTTTCTACATCTTTGTCTTGGGAAAGAGTTTATCACTATTTTAATGGCAGATACGGAAACTGAATGTGATTTTGATATAGTTATTGAATCAGGCAATTTAAGTAACTGCTAGTTATATGAAATGCCTATATCACTGTTTTAATCTACAATTTAGATCATTGGCGGATAATTTCATTTGAAATAAACATGATGTTGTCAAAAAGTTGAGTTCATTTACTTCTTTATGTATAAGGAAAAATCTTGGATGCTCAAGTCTATGTAATTGATGCACTTTGTCGGATCACATTGGGAAATTTGTATTGTTTGAATCCTTGATTTACCGGTAACCAACTCTTGTTATTAACATTTTTCTCCTTTTATAATTTAAAATCCGCTTGTTTTGATTTGATTGGAAAAGGTGTTATTTAAGTATATGAGCTTAAAGTTTATATTTGTCCTTTATAATTGATATTACTGACTAATTCAAAATAAAATATTGCAGGCCCAACAGAGGGGCAGTTTTCCTAATGTGTGTCGTGCTTATTTGTCATATATAGTGAGCCCATTGGGAAATCATGGACGGTGAATGTCAACATGTATAATATAGTTCAATAATTGGTAGAGTAGGAACTTTCCAACGTCGTCTAGTAAATTTGATGATATTAGTCTCTTATAATCAAGCTGTTTAATTTTCTTATTTACCCTAATTGATTGATAAATATGATGAATGTTTGGACCTTAGAATTTGAAAACTAGTAGAAGTGTGCAATCTGACTTTGGAATATCATTTTATGATTGAAGGAAAGGACGGAGAAACAAAGAAAACAATGTTTCTCAAAGCGCAGCTGCCTTGGAATGTCATACTTTCCCCAGAAAGCCTAGAAAAAGGTGGTCTGATGCTCCAACGGTCAATAATCATCCGCCTTCTGGATGACTTTGCTGTGAAAAAGGCAACTAAAGATCTGGGGTACTATCTTGCTGTGACCACACTGGAGAGGATAGGAGAAGGAAAAGTGAGGCAGCATACTGGGGATGTGCTTTTTCCTGTTGTTTTTAGTGCTCTTACTTTCAAGATCTGCAAGGGAGAGATCTTGCAGGGTGTAGTCCACAAGGTTTTGAAGCACGGGGTTTTCTTGAGGTGCGGACCTGTTGAGAGTCTGTATCTCTCAAATGTGAAGATGCCTGACTACCGCTATGTCCCCGGTGAAAACCCTTACTTCTTGAATGATAAAATGTCCAAGATTGGAAAAGATGTTGTGGTTCGCGTTGTTGTTATTGGGACAAAGTGGCTGGAGGCACAGAGGGAATTTCAGGCACTGGTCAGTTTGGAAGGGGATTATCTAGGGCCCGTTTCTTCTGAAATTTAGCCATGTGGACAAAACACAACACTACGTAAAAGGTTTCTTGGTTTTTGTTGTTAGGCTGTCCAATCAAAACATAACGTCTCCCCCCCCCCCGGGGGTATGTAGTTAGTGCTTAGTTATGCGGTGTTGAACCTTAAAAGAGCCCTCTTGTTATGTCCATAATTTGTTAGCAAACAATTGAAGACTAGAAGCTGAGCTTGCCCCTTGTTGTGTATTTGTTGTCTAGATTAGTACTGACCAGGTAGCGGGATTGTCTTCTGTCTTGTCTATATGCACTGATTAAGAAGCCTTTGAACCATAATTATGGTCCGTACGTTCGTGTTGTTCCTCTTACCATCTTTCTCGATGAACAACTGCTGCTAAACATCTCATTTGATTTTTTTTTATATAAATATTGATTGGTTTTATAAACGATATGAATCAAACAATCAAAAGCATATGATGATATTTATAATAAATCAAATCATTCACAGATCATGTATGTGAGGTTTCCACCGCCGAGATGGTTTTGGAGATCTTAAATTATGTTTCCTAAGAAAAGGTTTGAAAAATTGGGCAGCAACTCGGACATCCAACATAATGAGGCCGGGAACAATTTATGTCCCAACAATCCTCGAGGGATCAAATAGGGGCCCAAAGTGGACGCCCAATTAGATTTAAAGCATCACAATTAACAAGTAACAAATTTAAGGGTTTAAACTTTTATAAATTTATGAATAATGGAGGAAAATAGCATAGGAGAATTACACACACACACCTAACCCATTCTCACGTACAAAATCTTACAGTATAATTTGTTTTGAATTTTATACTATATATTAATATTAATATACTACTATAACAAAATTTATAGATTACGGTATTCATAAATCATAAATAATACAATTTAATATATTAATGTTGATATTAATTCCTGAAAGATAAATATTGATATTAATTTATGTTTGAATTAATTAATATTGATTGAGACGTATTATTTATTTATATCCGCAAAAATTTAAAAAGGACAGTCTTGATGAGAATGGCAAAAATGGGTCGCGGCTACGTCTGACACAAAAAAGAGAAAGAGGAAGGATAAGGGAAAATAATCAAAAATAAAACGACGTGCACTGATCAGAAAGAGGAAGGTTTTCTTTCTTGTGTTTTTGTTGGGCTTTGGGGCAAAGATATACAGAAACAGAAGCCTTATATGGAAGAAAGGACTGAAAATGTCAGGAATGAGGGAACGCGCGGATGAATCTTTGACCCTTTCTTTCATTCTAAAGCTTCGTCGAGATCTCCTGTGTCCCTCACCACACCAAAATCATCTCTTTCTGGGAAATCAGAATACGACCACAAGTCTGGCATTAGAGATGCTCACCGATCCCCTCTCTCCCAACAAATAATCTGCCTACATGATGTTAAGAACTTATGTACTTTTCTAACCCTATTTATAAGTCACTTCAAATATGTTTTATACAAAAAAAAAACATTAAACTTTATTAATTTTCATTTAAAATTCAACAACTTTTTAATTTTATGCATATTTAATATACACTATACCCTATGTAAATAAAGTTAACATAATAATAAATTAAGAATAAAATTGTACATCCATACAAAATATTTCTCTTAGTGTCGTATAAATAAAATCAGAGGAGTAATTTTTATTAACCTGAATATGAAGAAAGAAATATATCCAGGAAATAACTTTTCAATATCTAAAATATTGTTAAATACATATTTTAAAAAAAAAATATTTAAACTCGCATGGACATTTAGCTCATTATTTATTCGTTAAGTAACTCTAATCATTATTAATACTTTTAAAATCCACTTGATGGCCAAAAAAAAAGGTCAAATCCACTTTTTTAATATGGTGAAAAAAATGGAACAGTATTTCTACCTCAATAAATTCTTCCGGGGGCAATGTTGTCAATTACATGGGTTCAAGTTCAAGTTTTAAACCGATCAGCTCATGTTTTAGCGCATGGATCAGCTTGCATGGAGTGAGCGTGAGCGACGGTTCTGGGTGCAACACCTGTAGCCGGCGACTGAGAGTTGAAGAGAAGCAAGAACAACTGCGGAAGGGCTTGGGGCGAAGTTTTTTCGGTTAAGGTTCGGATTTATACGCCTAAATCTCTTTTTTCATCCAACATTTCAATGATAGATGCTACTTAATATAGGACCTAATCATTGAGTTGATTTTGATCTTGAATATAAAACTTATTTATTATATTTATCAATTTTTTCTAAATTATCGGTATGGATCTTCCCTCAACCATAATCAAGTAAATGAAGGAATAAGGATATTAAGAAAAATAATTATAGTGTTTTCATGTCATATTTTTTATAATTAACTAACTTATCTAATTTTTTTAATCTAATCAAATTTGTTAAATATGTCTTATATTAAAGATCGGAATTCTATTATCCATGTTTCCCTTGGCTATTACTTCTCAATAAAGGGGGCTGTTTTGCATTTCCCTGCTAAAATTTCGCCAACTAAGGGCCCCTTTTGTTGCCTGAAAAATATACTGATGGGAAAGGAAGATATTTTCCTTCACAATGTGTTGCAACATTTTTTAGGAGAGTACTCTCCGGCGGCTTGGGATTTTCCCGTGTTTAGTGGAAAATCTGTTCCCTCACATTTAGGTAGGATCTGATTTTCCTGCCTAGAAAACTCCTATGTGACCCCAAATCTTCTTCCTTCTCGCTTCGCAGATCTTTGTGTTTTTGGTTCGCTTCCATGGTTTCCTGCCGAGCTTCACTCTCTCTCTCTCCCTCCCCCGATCTCTCTCTTCACCGTCTTCCTTGGCGGACAATTTCACTGTTTTTATATGGGATGCCTATATCACTGTTTTTAGCTTCAATGTGCATCATTGGTGGACAATTTAATGTGAAATTAACTTGGTAGTTTTTCTAATGCATGTTGTGCTTATTTCTTCTAAAAGTAGTGTCATATATAATGAGCCTACTGGGAAGTCATGGACGATGAAGGTCAACATGTATAATATAGTTCAATAATTTGTAAAGTAAGAACTTTTCAACATCGTCTACTAAATCTGATGGTATTAGTCTGTTATAACCAAGCCGTCCGATAATTTTATTATTTCTCCAGATTGATTGATAAATATGATGAATATTTGGACCTTAGAAGTTGGAAAATAATAGAGAGCATGCAATCTGACTTTGGAATATCTTTTTATGCTGTGATTGAAGGAAAGAAAAGGGCGAAGGAACAAAGAAAACAATGCTTCTCAAAGTGAGGTTGGCCTGGAATGTCATACTTTTCCCAGAAAGCCTAGACGCGGGCGGTCTGGATCTTCAAGAGTCAATTATGATCCGCCTTCTGGATAACTTTGCTGTGAAAAGGCAACTCAACATCTGAGGTACTATCTTGGTGTGACCACACTAGAGTGGATAGGAGAAGGAAAAGTGTTACAGCAAAGTGGGCATGTGTTTTCAGAGCTCTTACTTTCAAGATGTGTGGGGGAGAGATCTTGGAGGGTGTAGTCTGGGGGTTTGCGAGGAAGGGGGTGATGTTAAGTGTGGACCCGTTGAGACTCTGTTTCTCTCAAAGTTGAAGATGCCTGACTACCGTTATGTTGCCGGTGAAAACCCACACTTCTGGAATGATGAAATGTCCAAGATTATTGGACAAGGTGTTGTGGTTCGCTTTGTTGTTACTGGGACAAGGTGGCTGGAGGCTAACAGCGAATTTCAGGCATTGGTCAGTTTGGAAGGGGATGATCTAGGGCCTGTTTCGCCTTAGGCTGACCAATCAAAACATAACCTTTTCTTTAATGCAGTTAATTATGTGTTGTTGATCCTTAAAAATGCTCACTTGTCATGTCTATGACTTGACAGCAAAAAAGTTGAAGACTAGAACCTAAGGTTGCTATTTGTTATGTATTTATTGTATACGTAGCGAACTGATGCAAATTAGAAAACATGCTTACCGATGCATTGTCTTTGGATGACCTTGGGAGAGGGAGACTACCCAACTTGCTCCGTAGATGAGCCTTCCTCTTCTTTGGCGGTGAAAGGGAAGGCCTATAAACTCCAAACCTGAATCAAGTAGTATGCATTGTGATGCACAAGCTTGCCTTGAGGGTTCATCACTACAAGCGTAGGTTTCTTCTTGGCTTGCCATTCCTCCTTGATGAACTTGAAGCCCTTAATTCGTTTAAAGTCGTCGTGCAGCGCTAACGCAAATCCCTTCTTCACCACCAATTCCTTTCATTTGCCGAACTCAGCCACAATCTTAAGAATAGTGGTGCCGTGACCAAAACTGTCGTAGTGTCGTCCCTTTGTAGAGAAGAGCCCATCCCATCTCATTCTTGTAGGACAACATCTTCTGAACCTCTTAAGTCACTATATTGGTAGCATTGTGCATTTTGGTCGCGCACAAGCTCTCTATGGCACCCTAGAATCTGCTTGTCAAGCTTTGGCTCTCGTTTTCCTCACAGAATATCTTAATCGAAATCTTTGACTTTTTAATGGTGGTGGCATCATTTGCAAGGAACCATCCATATCTTTCCTTCTTCAAAAGCATGCTCGTCAAATGTTTATCACAAACCTTTGCGATGAAATGTAAACTATTTGAACTTTGATTTTAAATATTCAAATTTATATTTATTTTTTGAAAAAATATTAGTTATATTGTCCTTATTTTAAATTATTTATATGTTAAAATAAAAAATTAAATCAAACAATCTAAATTAGTTGGAAATAAAGTGCAAACTAATATTTAATGTGCTCCCCTGTTTGAAGCTACCCAATCATTCCAACTATTAAATGTAGGCTATTTTTTATTAATTCACACGAATTAAGCAGTAAGAATTAACTCGTTAAATTTATATCAAATTAATGAAATTTTTTAAGGTTATTCTTATTGATGAGATTCTAAAGGAGAGAGAGAAAAAACACAAAGAGTTACTATTAAATTTAAATTATCAAAACAAAATTGATAAATAAGTATCAATAACTCTTTTCATAACTTAATATTAATTAAAAATTAAAAAAAATCCATCAAGGGTATTTTGAAAGTGAGTATAAAATGAAAAATTATTCATGGGCCTAAATATGTCACAGTATTGAACAAAAGCAACTTCAATTGAACTAATATTGAAATCAAACGTAAGAAGTAAATTTTGCATGCTTTTTGTGCGGAGCATATTTTATTGAATACGCATGCAAGGTCAATAATCTGCACTGATCAAAAGAACCTAGCCGAGCCAAACTTTTCACTGTGTAGTTGAATATAAAACCAACACCGAAAGCAAACCATAACAGTGATAATTTGCTAATTAACCATCGAAATGTATGTCATAACTTTATTAATAGACTCCGTCATAACAAGGAGGATTCATGACTATGAAGAAACTTAATGAAATCATAGGAGAAACTAGAGTCCACCTACGGCTTATTACAGTACCACCTAAATGAAACATGCCAATATTTTTGCAATGGGAATGAAAAGGGAGATTAAAGTATAGAGAATTATTGCATCATCAGCCATGTGATTCTTGATAATTGATTCTCTTCAGACCCTTCATCTCCAATGGGTCATCCATTAGAGTAAACCTCGGCTCTATGCAAGGGATCCGTGCTCAGCAGAATCCACTTTGTGGCAACATTTATAGCTGATGAAGACGTTCATGGTGCGTTCACATTCAGGGCATTTGATAATATCGGGTATCTTTCCAGCAACGTTAGGAATCTCAAGGAAGGTGCACCTGTGACTGGTCTTAACCACCTTCTGGTGGTGCTCCTTAAACCCTAAATCAAATCCCTTCTTCACCACCAATTCCTTCCATTTGTCGAACTCAGCCACAGTCTTGAGAATAGTGGTGCCGTGACCGGCGACCAGAACTGTCGTCCCTTTGCAGAGAAGAGCCCACCCCATCTCATTCTTGTAGGACAACATCTTTTGAACCTCTTGAGTCACAATATTGGTAGTATTGTTCATTTTGGTTACGAACAGGCTCTCTACTGCACCCCAGAATTTGCTTATCATGCTCTGGCTCTCATTCTCCACACAAAATAGCTCCAGCGAAATCTTTGCCTCTTTGATGGTGGCATCATTTGCAAGGGCCCCTCCATACTTGGAAAACTGTTGGATCCACTCCTTGTCCTTGCCTCCATAGAAGAAGATATACTTGTTCTCCTTAAACTGTACCATGTAAAATATGATCAATTTTTCTGTATACATGGAAAAAAGTGAACATGCAAATTAGGAAACATATTGCTTACCAACGCATGTGCCTTTGGATGGCCGGGAAAGAGGGAGACTACCCAACTTGCTTCGTAGATGAGCCTTTCTTCTTCTTTGGCGGTGAAAGGGAAGGCCTGCAGACCCCAAACCTGAATCAAGTGGAATGCGTTGTGATGCACAATCTTGCCTTGAGGGTTCATCACTACAATCATAGGTTGCTTCTTGAATTGCCATTCCTCCTTAATGAACTTGAACCCCTTAATGCATTCAAAGTGGTGCAACACCAACCAAGGCATCTTGAACTTGAGAAACTCGAACTTCTTTCTCAACGCCTCGTTCCATTCTTCCACTATGGGAACCCAAATAATTTTATACTGGTCATCTGTCTTTATTTTTTCAAAAACTGGCCTCATAATCGAAACATCTTCCTCTGTAATGTCCAAGGTCGAAACAAACAAGAACACGTTCTTCTTTCTCAAAACTTCAAAGCTAACCTGTTCAATCAACAAAAGAGGATAGAATCAAGGCTAACGAAACCTACTAGTTAGTGAAACGAGCATTCATAGCCACAATCTAACACTGTTCAACTTACTCTAGCCCACTTCGTAAGTCTTGTTAATTCAGTTCATTGTGAGAATTCACGCGTATATGTGCTATTAAAGTATAATTGATTATGTATGGCAGTTAATTCGTAATCATGCTTTAGCGATAGCACTAGCTGAATTGGAATATCAAGATTCAGTATAAGACCTAGCAAGGTCCTATTAGCAGTTCTAGTCGTGACAATTCTTGTTGGGTTCGCAAATGCAATAAACATAAAATTAAAAATATGAAGAAACAAGCAACAAACCAGTGTTTTAGTAGCACCGTCATAGATGGGGGTCTGAGGAACATTCTTCCAGAAAATTAGCACCTTAAAGACTTCCATAATTTCAGTTGGTGTTTTCAACATTTTCCTCAAGATCTTGATATAGTTTGCTTCATCTGAAAAATCGCCAACAAAATATCATAAGCATTGTAGAAGCGGGAGCTCACTAGTATCAACTAAATCAACTAATCGAACAATTACCAATTTGTTGGCGGCATAGTGAAATTTGCTTCCTCAATTTGCTAAGTATAATGTTGATCTTCTGGCCGAAAGGCGATAGCTCCTGCTTATGCTCCCTAAAGAA